TGGATGCTCTCTAAAAAACTTATAATGCTTCAAAATCTGTAATAAATTGTCTTGCACTGACTTATCACTCAACTAGATTTTTACTGCTAGACATTTTCTATCTCTTGTACCTCACACAACAAATAGAAAAACTCTTCAAAATATTTGTGTTGTATATGCATACACTAGTCGACGAAAGAGAACTGATCGACGCTCTATAATTATGTAAAGATTGTAATGTAGGTTTTTATGTTGTTAGTTGTTTCAAGGAATATCATACTTTATTATATTTTTAACTGTTTTTTTATATTAACTTTCCTTCACAAAATGTCATTGAATTGTTGTTTGCTATACTTCTTGGATGTGTATTTTGTTTCTGTTGTTTCAAAATAAACATCGTAGATCTTTAGCATTAAGTCTAGATGAAAAAATTGTGAAAGACACTTTTCAATTATAATTGATTTTGTAAGCGACAATCAAACTTTTTTCTCTGAAAACAAAAAAAAGGTCGATCTTCAAAGGATTGAAAAAAAAACAAAAAAACCCTAAACAACAATGAAGAATTTCTAGCATTAAGTTCTAGTATATTTTTTCTTTTATTTAGTTAATGTTTCTAAAGAAAAGAACAGAACGAAAGACATATACACTGCATAAGGAACAATAATACATCATCAAAAAAAAATGAATGATGCAATAATAATAGTTAAAAGAAATCATATTTTTTTGCTTTGTTCAATATGCGATAAAAAATAATCGACAAACAATTGATAATATCAATCTTTAATAAGTGGACGAGTTGCTGTAGTTGTTGTTGTTGTGGTCGTAGCATTACCACCACCACCACCAGTCGCAGTATTTGAAACAACCGAAGTTGGATTCGGTTGTTTAAAATTAGCTGCTGCTTGATATTGCAATTGATATGCCATTGAATGAATTTTAAAACCATAAAGTCGAGCAACAAATTGATTTGTTGGTCGTTTTGGTCGATATTCTGGATGAACCATGAAGAGCATATGAGGAAAACCTGTACTGAAATATGCTCCATCAGTATGATGATGTCGGGAACTTTTTGGTGTATAAACATCCATACATTTTGGACAATAAAGTTTAACCATAGCTTCACCTGGAACTTCAGATAAGCCAATCTATTGTGTAATCAAAGATTTATTACAGAAAAAAAAAAAAAATCTTTCGTACTGGTAACATTGGTTGATTGTCACAATATATACGAGGACATAGACCGAAATCTCCATTTTGGAATTTCTCAAGCATTTGTGCTATGCCATTATTTGTAAGAATATAACGTGCATGTATCAGACCTGTTACAAAAATATGATTCGATTTATTTTTCTAAAATTAAAAATAAATTACCATAAAGCATTTCAGCAGCTTGTTCAATTAAATCTGATTGATTTGGATTTTCTTGATTATCAAGTTCATCATCAGGCTCAAGATCAAGAATCATATCAAGTGCTTGTCTATAATGTGGTACTTGTTCATTAAGACCCGTCTATGAGAAACAATAATTTTAAATAAATAGATAAAAAACAAATTAAATTCGAGATTACAAATAACATACTAAATTAAATTTATCCTGTATATAATCTTCATCAACTTCACAAAAAAATTCATTACCACGAAGACCACAGAACCATGAAATCCATGAAACTGATATGAAAAAATATACTGAGACTTAGATGAGTTGACAAAAAAAAAAATAATTTTATATACCTTCTTCGGACGAACTCATCGAGCTTGATTTTGATTTAGCACCTCCGGCAGCAGCTGAAGACGACGAGTGATCGTCTTTTACAGTAGAATTAGCTCCAGTCGAGGCCAGAACAACAATGCAAATAGAAATACCTGAAGGAAAATTTATTTTTCTTGCCTAATATAATTATCAACTTATGAAATTAAAAAAACAATATGCTTTTTTTATTATACAATATATAAACACGCGACTTTAAAAAGAAACAAAATAGAATTTCATATTTTCATATCAACAATTGATAAAAATTTTCTTTCCATCGTTTTGCTCAAAAATAAACATGATTTAAATATACATTTGAAGGTTAGTAGGTGAGCAAATCTAGAAATCAAATATACCATAAATTTTAAAAAGAAGCATCTTACATAAATAAGATAGAAATATCATTGTTTTCTTTACATATATATATAATTCTATTAAATAAAGTCATACAACAATGTATCATCTGACAAATACAAAAGGCAAAGGTTTAAAAAGCATGGGCAATACAACAAACACAAAATGATTGTAAAAAAAAGTGCATTGATTATCTTTTAAGAAGAGACAAGAAAAAAAAAGCCGAGCCAAGAAAATACGTTCGATTATCATTTAAATATTAACCGGTGGTTTTAATTGTTTATCCACAACATAAAATTTTCCTTTATCACTAAAAAGTCCCCATAAAACAGCAGTTATTTCGCATACAACAACAAATGGAATTGTTGCTAATGTAGCAACTATTCGTAATATAAATTGTGCATAACCTAAACGTACTAATGAAAATGATCGAACGGCACCAATTATATATAAATAAATATTAACAGCACCAACATAATTTATAAGAAAATTTAATGTCCAATGTAATGGTATAGGACATAATGGTGCAAGTATAACATTTAATGATGTTATTGGTAATGTAACCCATGAATAAAGTGCAATACCTAAACCAAGTCGAACACGAAGTGGTAATCGTATATCATGAACAACAAGTAAAATTCCTTGTAACCATCGTTTACGTTGTTTAACAAAGTCTGCTAATGTAAATGGACTTTTTTCCCACATTTCACCTATATGAAAAACAAAAAAGAAATGTTATGTTTGTTTTTACTTTATCGTCTATTATAAATTTAATACTAACCTTCAATCCATCCAAATTTTTTATTTTTTGACATAGCTAACATAGCAAAATATGTATCTTCAGCTATTGAACCAGCACGTCCATTATCAAATGCAACATCAAATTCACAACCAGCACGACATACAACAAATGAACCTTTAAATAAAAATGGTGGTCGATGAAATTTTTTTAAACAAAATCTTAAACATCCTAAATCAACACCAACACGCATACTATCAGCTAATGTTGTTATATGATTAACAATTGTTTCATTAGCATATGTTATAAGACCTTGTCCAATATCATATTCATTTGAATTAACAAAATTTAATATACCACGTATACAATTTTCTGTTAATAATGTTTCTTCATCTAAATGTACAATAAAATCATCTGATGATAATTGATTAACATCAGGTTCTAATGCATATTGTAATGCACGTGATTTATATAAAGCACCTGATTTTGTTCGATATGTATCTGGTACAACAACTTGACGTACCATATTAATTGGTAAATTATGTAGATTTATATATTTATCAGTTACAATTTCAATTTGAAAATTATCTAAACCAACTTTTGCACATGTTTCTAGATTTCTTTTAACATTTGTATTAACTAAATCTGGATAATCACCACGTGTTACAACACGTATACGAATTTTTGGACCTAATAATGGTGAATTTAATAATTCAGGACGATCAGGAAATATATTATATAAAATTAAACCACATGTATGACATATAACTAATGGTAATGGTAATAAAGATAATAGACGTATAAAATAAATAATTATTGTTAATAATAAACCATAATATTCAATTGGATTTGATATTAATACAATTAAATTTGATGATATTTTATTTAATGGAAATATATTTATACCACCGGCTATGATTTCAAATACGAAAATAAATATAATAAAACAACAAACATGAATTATATGACGACGATTTGATGACGAAAATATCATTATTAATTTATTCAGTAGAAATCACACTGAACAATATTATTTCTTTCTAATAGTAAAAGAAACGAGAAAAAAAAAAGAAAAATATATATATATATATCGATGAAATTTGCGTGTGTAGAATCTTAATGTAACCAAAACAACATACTAATAAATCACGAACGCAAAAGAACGGTGAAAAAATGAAGACAGAATTCTTTTACACGACATTATTGAGACAAGTCTCGCCTGACGACACTTTACTACGTAAACAACTTTGCACACATGCCCGTACCTGTTGTCAAATGTTGTTATGTGCACGGTTGCTAGCAAGAAATGTGTCGTGTTTTCTTTTATGGTATGTTCGAAATAAAACTACCTAGCATATTTATACAATATATATCTATGTTTGCTTTAGTACACATATCAAAAACTTTGATATTCCATTGAATAAATTGTAAAAAGTATTAAAAAAAAACATTTTCTATATAATAGACTGCGCCCCTGTAGAGATACTGATACTCACTTTCAACAATTAATCAATATTTGTCATCTATTGCTTTTTATACCCAAGGTTTATTTTGCGATGCAATATATTTAAATACGCCCTCTCTATTAAATTTCAGTGACGTAAAAAGACCAATCTATTTGTAATATTGACATTGATGATATTTTCTTTTTTGAAAGAGAAAAAAAAGAAGAGGAAGATTCAAATGAGAAAAATATGCTAAAATCAGTATTTTATTTGACCTTAGAAAGAAAAAGCAGTATGCGAATAGAACAAAACGTGTTTTTTTTATCTAATAGGGAATACTAATAAAAATGAACAAGATCGCGAGTATTAAATAAAAGAAAAAAAAACAAATTCAATTTGTTATTCTGACCAACAAAATCAGTTAAAAAAAAAGAATAAAATGTAAAAGCCATAAGCATATAGTTTTTGTCAGTCGGATAGGATGTAGATAAATGATAAAGTATAAAACAAAATGGACTACATACACGAAACAGTATCAATGCATAAATTGTGTCAAAATAAAAAAAAATCTTTATTTGTTCTTTATTCTCTATCACATTACAACCAGTGCAAATGATTGTTTTAAGATTTATGACGATAAATACATATAAAAATCGATTCACTTACCATATCTGATTTATATTTCTATGTATAGATAATTCATATTCTGACTTGAGGCACCGGACTAGATTTATATCTGAAAAAGAAAAACACTATAATATGCGTAAGTAATCACCTCTTTATATGCATTAAAACTATAGTTTTCGAATAAATTCAAAAGATAATACGAACTCATTCTTTCATTGTTTAATCATATAGAACAAAAAAAAAACAAGACAGAGCATAAACAAACATTGTTTTCTCAATGAATAGATATATTTACAAACATGTCAATACGAATGTTCTATTAACGAGCTTCTGGTTTATATTTTGGTGGTTTAAATAACATTGGTGCTTTGCCTTTCACCGTATCTTTTGCTTTGGCAACTGTTTGAAATGATTTCCAACTATTAACACGTGTTTCACGACTTTCCTGAAAGATAAAACAAATATATGTTTTCTTGTAATTACACTAACGAGAGTAGTCTTCCAACGGATTAATTGCTGTTGAGTCGAGACTATGTGTTCCATGTAGATCCTAATGAGCTACAGTGAGGGCCGAAAAAAGCCTGGACTTTTTTATTTTTACACATAAACGAATAGCAAGGATATTCTAAAAATTTTCTCTTATATCTATTTCTGTAGAGCTTTTTACGCTGATCATTTTGATAAAAAAACTTTTTGATTTGCATTGAGTAATGACAATGTTATAGTCAAAATACTAAACACTAGTAAATTGCAGGCGAAAAGTAGAGCACATTTTTAGTGTTTGGCTAATTTTTACGTTATTTTACAACATCTGAAAGTTGTTCTATATACCATTCGATGCAGAATTTAACGGGCTACATTCTGGTAAAAAGTAATTATAATTATATTGTGGTTAATTAATTAATTAGTAGTTAATAATAATTAGCAATTACTTAATAAAATTTTAACTTTTTTTAAAATTCTAACTCTGCCATTCAAAAGAGCGTAAAAAACTGAACAAAGCTCTATTATTATCATTTGGAAAGCAACAAATTTGGTGAGGTTTTAGGGTGATTTTCAGAGTATGCTCACTTGTAATTAGATATAGTATTCATTATTTTAATAAATTCAATCATGAAACGACACATGAAATACGCGAAAATGGGCGCATTTTAAAGAGCATCATTTGCTCTTTCAAATGACATGTTGCTGCTTTCTGTGCAATATTCTATACAAATGCTACAACGTCTTTAGTTGTAAAAAAAACTAATTTAAGCCATACTTTCCAGCCATATTTCTGTTATTTTACATTGTATATTTCGAAAGACGTTGCAACATTTGTATAGAATATTGCGCAGAAAGCAGCGACATGTCATTTGAAAGAGTAAATGATGCTCTTTAAAATGCGCCCGTTTTCGCGTATTTCATGTGTCATTTCATAATTGAATTTATTAAAATAATGAATACTATATCTAATTACAAGTGAGCATACTCTGAAAATCACCCTAAAACCTCACCAAATTTGTTGCTTTCCAAATGATAATAATAGAGCTTTGTTCAGTTTTTTACGCTCTTTTGAATGGCAGAGTTAGAATTTTAAAAAAAGTTAAAATTTTATTAAGTAATTGCTAATTATTATTAACTACTAATTAATTAATTAACCACAATATAATTATAATTACTTTTTACCAGAATGTAGCCCGTTAAATTCTGCATCGAATGGTATATAGAACAACTTTCAGATGTTGTAAAATAACGTAAAAATTAGCCAAACACTAAAAATGTGCTCTACTTTTCGCCTGCAATTTACTAGTGTTTAGTATTTTGACTATAACATTGTCATTACTCAATGCAAATCAAAAAGTTTTTTTATCAAAATGATCAGCGTAAAAAGCTCTACAGAAATAGATATAAGAGAAAATTTTTAGAATATCCTTGCTATTCGTTTATGTGTAAAAATAAAAAAGTCCAGGCTTTTTTCGGCCCTCACTGTATGAATACATTGGAAAGAGTTTGGAGCCTTAGTTTATTGTTACTGAGATACTACATTTGTACGATACTTTTTAAAGTTAATACCGTGATCCACTCAGAAACACAAGGAAAACTCATTTTCGAATTTCGACTTGAAATTTTCCATGGAGACTTAGCTCATCGAAAATAGTTTATTTGTAAAAGTTTCAGTTCATGTTGTAGTTTCTATTCTAAGATACAACTATGATAAAAGCTTTGTCTTTTACACTGTTCATATACAGCGATAGATTTTATGTTTTTATTGTAGGAAAGAAGTAAATCAAAAGACCAGAAACTTTTACAATAAACTATTCTGGTTAAGACTTGTCTCTAAGTAAAATTTCAAGTTGAAAACGAATTTTTCTAGTATTTCTGAGAGGAACTAAAATATTGATTTTAAAAAAATTCGTAAAAACGCATCATCTCAGCAGTAATAAAGCTAAGAGTCCAAACCATTTTCAGAGTATTCATAGCTCATTAGGACCTACATGTTGCACATAAGTCGAACTCAAATACGATTAATTAGTTGGAAGACTTTTTTTGTAAGATCTTGCTTTAATTTTTTCTTTTAACTTACTTCATAATTTTTATCCCATTCTTTTCGTAATTTAGTTCTTTCTTCACGGTCGGTTGTTTCTTCTGCTTTTCGTTTTCGCTCTTCGGCTTTGTTTGATTCTTCTCGAACACGTAATCGTTCAATATCAGCAAATAATTTACATGTGACTGACCAAAGAGATTTTTTATACTAAAATATATTTTAATAGAAATATAAAAATAAAAAAAAACGAGAAAATTATAATCAAGAAAAACATTTACTCCTTCAGTAGTATCTTCTTCAATTGGTTGATTTTTATATTTGAGTCGTTTTTCTTGAATCTAAATATATATATATATTGAGAAAAATTCAAATTGAACAAAGTATCATGTATATAAATATATATATAAATAGAACAAAAAAGAAATGTTTAACTCACCAAATTGTCTGAATGATTGAACGAAACAATTCGTCGTACAATGCACACTAGAAGGAGGGTAAAAAAGGACCTATCGCTCGAGCGATCTCAATTCTTAGTCTTCCCAATTTTATGAAAGAGAATTATTTCTTTTCTTTTTCTTTTAAAATAATTAATAAAATACCAGAGAAAATAAGGGAAACGAAAAGATTGCAAAATATAGTCAAAGCAAAACTTACCATTTTGTCCACACGTTCTCGAGCTTCTTCAACAACTTCGAGACATTTTTTACGTTCTTTTTCATCTTCAAGCATTTTATATGCTTTATTAATTGCTAAAGAAAAAAATTAATAAAGATAGATTACTTGAATTAAATTTTAAAAAAAATACTTTTTTTTTCCTCATGAATGATTAAATGAAAATTTATTATTTTAAATTAATTCATCAATATCCGCAGTTATAAAATTTACTGTATGATGCATTGTTTTTCTAGTTATGTATCAGCTTAATATAATTCTCTTGTTTATAGGACAAAATGAAAAATATATGGAAGTTTTATTTGGAAATACAAAACATCAGACTTTAGTTATCATGTCAAATGACATTTCCAATATCTTGACGTGATAAGAAACAAATAAAAACTGAGACTGATATTAAATTACAGTCGACATTGTTAGATGTTTCTTCTATGAAGAAAATAATGAGAGGGCGATAATAAATTGAACTATATTTAACTGCAAGTTTTCAATTATTTACTATTCATATAGAATATTCATTTATATATACAAAGATGAAGAATTTTAAACTCTACAAAACGGTATACTTCATTGTTATAACGAACCTTTTTTTTTTATTTCGATGCTATGAAGACACTCTGACGTACACAGTATATCTCTACTACAGAAATAACAACAAAGGAAAATATTCTCGATGAAATCATCTATCTTTCAAAGTTCCAGATACAATAAATGAGAAAAACA